TGTGTTGGATACTTGGATTTAATATTTATATGTTATATTGTGTTGGATTTAATATTTATATGTTAAATTGTGTTGGATTTTTATATGTTAAATTGTTATATGTTACAGGTTTTTTTTTAATATTACAGGGTTTTTTAACAAAAAAATATAAAATATTATTTTTGGATTTTTGGATTTTTTTTTATAAATGTTATTCGAATCGAATTCGGATATTTTTAATCGAATTCGGATACGGATTTTGAAATTCGAATACTAATTGGACGAATTCGGATTATCCGGATACTAATCGAATTCGAATTCGGATACAGGGGTATCCGGTCCGAAATCGTCCGATTGACGGCTACATTTAACCTACCTAGATCTTTTTTGATTAGTTAATAGTTGTATCATTTTTAATTAATCTAGTTTTTTTATATGTTTTATTAATTTTTGTGTATTATTTTTTAGGTTAAATGTCCTTATTGAACCCGGCCTAGACCGAGTTCATGGGTCCGAATGAATGTCAAAGTCAGCCAGACACGGTTCATTTACACCCTTAATATTAATTATATTGATTAAATTAATATCAAAACATGCATGAAATATAATCACTTTGGTTTACAGACAGCCGTCCCAAAATCGCGCCTGAAATATAATTATAAATGAGGTAATTTATTTTATCCAACTTTTTGAGTTCAAATTTTTTCAAGAAAATTCATTCTGGGTTGTTAATTATTCCAGACTCTCAATAGTTGTAAGAACTACTTTAATCATCTTCTAGCATTATTATCTAATCTACATTAATCAGTATTTGGTTTATCTTTAATGCCGACAGTAACAGGCGTTGGTCGTCTGCCGGCGAGACGAAGAATCGAGGAGGTTGAGTTAGAGAAATCGGATTGCAGCATACATTGACTAGCAGAAATTAATCAGGTGAAATCGATTAGGAATTTGGTAAAATCGTATAGGGAAATCGTTTAGGGATTTAGAGATATTGGAAAATAAATTATTTTTTTAAAAGCCCCTACTAAATTTAAAATTTGAACGGAGATGGCGGGGATCCCGTCCCCAGTCCCAAAAATCGTCCTGTCCCCGGTCAAATTATTTATTTTAAACAAGTAATTTAAACTTTATTTTTTTAATCTCACCCCTAAGTAAGACAGTAAGAAATATTAATCGTCCATCCTTTTATTAATTAATATTTAATAAAAAAATTATAAGAAATTAAGAATAAAGTATGGTGGAACAAGCGGTGAAACAAGAATGTCTTTTGTCTTACCTTAGTTATTTTATTTAAACAAGCAGTGGAACAAGCGGCTAATACAGTAATACTTTAGTTATTTCATTTAAAAATTTTTCTAACATGCGACAACTTATCTTAGGACAGCGGTGGAATAAGATGTCGGCGCTCGGTGGTGTAACAAGGTTACAAGAATAAGAACGAGATTAATTTGATTAAGTTTAACATTTAAGTTTTTAATTAAAAATTTAGGATATAGATTTAATTTTACAATTTTAAATATAAATTTATCTATTTAATATATTGTATAAGGTTATATATATAAATTATACAATATAAAATATTTTATAGGGTCTATATGCAATTTTCTCCGGGTACGTGGATTATCCGGGGCGGGGATTTCAATCACCATCACCGTACCCGGAAAATGACCGGGGATTTCGGTCGGGGACGGTGATTTTTCTGCTTCGGGTAGGAAAATCATCCCCGTCCCCCTACCCGCCCGTCCAGATACGGGGATGGGAAACCTCACCCCTAATTGGGATAAAATCAGATTGAATATTAGAAATTCATATTTTTATTTGAACAAAATTCTTTAAACATTATTTGAATTGAAAATGAAAAAAAATGAGAGTAATTTATGTTTGGGATATTTAAATATATAATATTTATAATATAGTAAATTTATATAGATTAACCTAAAATTAATATTAAGTGTATTTATAGATTAAGTAATATTAAGTATATTTTTATGGGTAAATTTATATTAAATCAGACTGCGAGCATCTCCGTGAGTGGACAGATCGACCGTGAGCACATCCGCGAGTGGACAGAGAGACCGTGAGCACCTCCGCGAATGGACAGAGCGACCGCGAGCATCTCCGCGAGTGGACAGAGCGACTGCGAGCACCTCCGGGAGTGGACTAGCTCTGACCGCGAACGAGCGTCCGAGTATGTGTTGTGCGAGCGAGTGAACAGAGCGACCGCAAGCGAGCACCTCCGCGATTAGCTCTGACCGTGAGCAAGCCAGATACCTCGTTTCCACCTCCTCTCTTCCGATTTGGCCGCGAGCGACAGAGAGCTCCAGATCTGCGACATCCTTCGATTGAGCCCCATCTCCAGCGAGACTCCTCGTGAGCTCAGATTAGCTTGCGATTCTGCGTCAGCGAATTGCGAGTGCTGCTCCACCGCACGAGTGAGTCCTCTCGGGATCCAGCGGCCGATTTAATTTCGCCGCCGTCGTTCACGAACGATTAGGGTTGATCCCACAAAGGAACCCATGATTTGGCTGTGGCGAGTGCGATTCTAAGATCTACGAGTGAATCGGCGAGTAGGTTGTAGAAATCGGCGAGTGGGAGAGGAAATCGACGAGTACGTGTGTAATCGGCGAGTGAGGGTGTAATCGGAGATTATATGGATTGTGTAAAAAAAAAACGGCGATTGTCTGTTTTTAGTTAGGGAGTGAATTTTCTTTTACTGCAATTTTGAGGAGGGAGCATCTTTGCGATTAAGCACTTTTGAGAACGATTTTTGGTGATCTTCACTGCCTCTGATTGGAGCTATTCGATAAACATTAGGGAGATGAGCGTTTTGTGATCTCTGGTGCTTATTTCTATCTAACCTTTACCATTCGCCAGTTGTGGGGGTGTCCCACGTTTTACGTGGGGTGCTTGGGTAACGGGGTGGTAGTAGGAAGGATAGAGTGAAGTGACTTGACCAAGGTATAAGACGTTTCCCCTAAAAATTAGGTTGACAGAGAAATGAGTGTTAGCGATCTCTGTTCGGTCTTCTCTAGTTAATCACTGCCATCCGTCAGTTCTGCGGGTGCTTCTTTTTAAGGAATGCTTGGGTAACAGGGTATCGGTAGGGAGGCTAGGGAAGGAGCAACACATCGGGAACGTGAATCAATCTTGCTATCGTTGGGATATACTTTTCCCAATTATCAATTCCTATGATGAATACAAGGGATCAAGCTTACACATGGGTTCCAATTTTATATCACAGACCAATAAGGAACCTGAGCTTCAGCCAATCTACACTCATCAACAATCAACCTCATGTTAGAATTGAAGAATTACAACCGGAGGAGGTTACAAAGAAATTTACGAATAAATCCTTTGCTTGCCAAACTGAAGAATTTATAGTAGAGAAGTGGGGCCTGAAGGAGACTAGAGATTACAAAGTGGTAATATTGGAAGGGATTGGGTTTAAAGTTACGGTACAGAATGAAAGGGAATTTGAGAAAGTTCTTAGGGAAGAATGGCTCTGGATGGAATCTGAGATTATGCTGGCACAGGAATAGAAACCATCATTGGATTTTAGGACCGAGGCTTTGTCGACGATTCTGATTTGGGCTACTCTCCCTGTGTTGAATGAGAAATTCTGGAATGCGAGAATCATCGCAAGAATAGCTAGCACCCTAGGCACACCTCTAAATGGCAGATTTGTGATCAAGGATGATCAGACGATTGTCCAATTAGTGCTGGTAGTGGATGCTGCCTTTAAATTTCCCGAAAGTACGAAAATAATAATAGATGGGCAGAACGGTTAGGTGACGGAGGAAATTGCAGTGAAATATCCATCTGTTCCCCCTTCGTGCAAATGGTGTGAGGGGTACGGACATACAACTGAAGCTTGTCTCCGAACATCTTTGACAGTGGATGTTATCCATACTCAAGAACCCGAACATGCATTCTCAAACCCGCCACCAAGTATCTCAACAGCAGGCGTTAACACTCGTAGAAGGAGAATTACCTTTAGAGAATCCCCTACATCTCCTGAACAGGAAGAAAATTCGGAATCAGAAACACAGAGGGCTACGAGAAGAGGAGGGCAGTACGATTAAGAAAAAGGCAGAGGCAGAAGCAGCAGAGAGAGGAGAGAAGGAAGAAATCAACTGAGGAGGTAGCAGTGCATACAGTGGAGGTCAGCGTCCCGATCTTGAATAGCCAGGATGAAGAAGAGGAGGGTTCAGATAGCTCAGTGGATTCAGCACTAAGATTAAATCAATTTGTGAACCAAATTAGGGATATAGATCTGAACGCCAGCCCTTAGGGTCTAAGCCCACAAGACATGCATCAACAGGTTGGCCCATCTTTATCACTAGCGGTCAATGTGGATGAGATCCCAATTCCCTTGGTTATGACTATTGAAAACCCAAATCCAAATCCAGGGCTATTATGGAAACACCAAATCATCCAATTTTTAATTTCACAAGCAGCGTAAGAGGCTCCTCGAGCCGGCGCTGCTGGTCATTAATCCCTCTAGATCTCCACCAAGGTCGTCTACGAACCGAGATGGCGCTTTTCGTGTGGAATGTAAGGGGGTCCTCGAACCAATTGGTTGGTCGCCTGATAATAAAAAATTTAATGTTGAGATTATTATAGGAGACTAATAGTATGTATAAAATTTATATTTGGTCGCCAAAAAAGTCGCTTACATGGGTTCAACCAAGAAAATCTGACGACCAACTTAACTTCGTCGCTTTAAAAAAAATAGGCGACTAACTTAGCAATGGTCGCTTTTAAATAAAAAACCAACTTATATAGGTTGGTCTTTGAAGTTGGTCACAAATAATTTGTTTTCTTTTAGTGATTGCCTTTCAACAAGGAATCTGATGAGACTAAAGTGTCAAGTAAAACTCGGCTTGATGGGTTCAGCTCGTTAAGCTTGGGCTCGCGAACCCGAGCCTAAAGTTCAAGCTCGCCAAGCTCGGCTCGTTAAACTCGATGGCTAGGTAAGGAGTATAAAATAATAATAAAATATTATATTTAGAGAGAATGGGGATGTAGCACAGATGGTAGAGCATTTGCTTGGCATGCGAGAGATTTCGGGATTGATCCCCCATGTCTCTAAATTTTTTTTTAACCTGCAGGTTAAAGTCGAGCCCGAGCCTAGCAATTCTTTAATGAGCCGAGCCCGAGCTTGGATAACTCCTGAACGAGCCGAGCTTGAGCCTCGCTCTATAAATAAAGGCTTGGCTCAGTTCGTTAAGACACCCTAGACGAGACTAGAGCCCACACAACAACAATGAACACTACCGAAAATGAAACTCGATCGGAGTCCAGAAGTAGAGATTAATAAAATCAACCAATCACTTAAGATAATTCAGGAACCATGACAACATAGACGGCCACCAGCAAAATATACTTAGTCCTGTAAATGAATATTCAAATTCAAATTTCAATTTTAATATCTGAATTTAAACGAATCGAATTCGGATATAAAGGTATTCGATTCGTTTAAATTTTATATTATTATAAAATTTAAATTTACATATATAATCTTTTAATTTTATAATTTATACTATTAATGGTTACTAATTTATAATTTTTTAAACAATACAGGATTTTTTGAAATAAAATAAATCAGATGGATTTTTATATAAATGTTATTTGAATATTATTCGAATTCGATTAAAATAACCTAATTCAAATTCGGATAGAAAAATATAAATTCGATAGGTAAACGAACTGAATTTGAATATCCGGATATTAAACGAGAATTCAAATATGATAGTATTCACTTCGAATTTGGTTAGTTTACATGCCTAAATATACGGATTACGATGTCTACTAAAAAGACATACAAATACCAATAAGCTTGTAAATGGTATACCGAAATCTGTATTTTTTTTCGAATTCAAATATGTTTATTCAAATTTGGATTTCCGGATTTCGGATCCTAATACCAAAAATTATCCAGATGGATTCGGATATCTGCAATATCCAGATAATTCTAGATTGATAATTCTAGATTCGGATATTCAGATATCCGAATAAATATAAATTGATTTCCGGATATTCGGATTTTAGGATGATTAACTTTATTAAGGGTGATTTTTCTGGAATTTCTATATAGATAGGATATACTGATTGGAAAACTAAGTAGATGAAAATGAATTAAACTGGAAATTATCAAATGGAAATTCAGTAGTAATTGAAAAAACAAACGATTGATTTAAATTGAATTGAATTGGACAACTAGGAATTCACAACTATTAATTGAATAAAAATAATGAGAGTTGAGACAGAACAAGAAGATAAGAAAATGTAATGAATTAAGACATAAACTAACAATTATAAGTGCCAAGAGTTGAGACAGAGTGCAAGAAAATACACATTACACTATTCAAAAGAAATGAATTAAAAGAGTACTGAACCAGAACAGAGCGGAGCAGAAGACGGAGACGACGATCGTCGAGAGAGGACGACGACCAGACCAGTGGAAGATTGGAGAAGAATCGATTGCAGAACTGCTATACTGGAAACACAACTGAACATTTATAACCCCGGCCTAACTGAATTTATTCAGGTTATTGGATCTGTTAGATCCAATTTCACCCATAAGTATATTAAATCTTCACATTCCCCTGCAAGATCGACGACGAAAAATCCGACGAGCTTGAACACTATGAGGATGCCAGTGGTACTATCTTATGTCGATGCCTATGTTGCATAAACGTTGTTATACCCAAGACCTTTGTGAATCCATCTGGAAGTTGTAGCTGTGTTGGAATATATTTAACCCTCAGTGCCTCTGATTTCACTAATTCTCGGATAAAGAAGTAGCTAATGGCAATGTGTCTGCTTGATCGTGGTGTAACCATTGAATTCTTGGTCATAAAGATTGCGGATTTATTGTCACATAAGAGTACCGGAGGTTTAGCTAATGAGATATGTAATTCTCGAAATAACTGGCACAACCATCGCAATTCAGATGTGACATGAGCCAAAGCTTTAAATTCTGCCTCTGCATTTGATAGAGATACTGCCGGTTGCTTCTTTGCAGACCATGAAAGAAGATTTCCACCAAACTACAGACTTGACCCTGTGATTGACTATCTATCTTGAGTTCTACTCCAGTCTGAATCACAATACGCTGTAAGTGTTGATTCATTCCTATTCATAGTCGTAATTCTCAAACTCAAGTTTGTTGTACCTTTAAGATACCTGTAAATTCTTTTTACTGCTTGTAGATGTCCTTCATGAGGATTATGTAGGAACTGACATACTTGATTAACTGGAAATATCTGGCCTTGTCAAGGTCAGATATTGCAAAGATCCTACTAAGATTCTATACATTGTTATGTCTGCGATGACTTGTCCCATGTCTGCGACTGACACGACATGAAATTCTTGTCAACACGACACGTACACAACACTATTATTTTATTATTAATAATTATTATCTATAAGTATATTTTATTATTTTATCCGTCATCATACAGTTATTATTTTACCTTATAATTATTATTTTACCTCTATTATTTTACCATTATTATTTTATGGGTATAATATTTAATATAAAAAAGGATTCTAAATAAATGATAAACATAGTTAATTAATAATATTATATTATATTTTCGTGTTATATAATCGTGTTGTCGTGTCGTGTTTTAAAAAACAAATACTAAATCAACACTATTATTAATCGTGTCAAAACTTTCGACACTATTATGAACGTATTATGTTCGTGACATGTTAAAACCGTGTCGTGTCGTATTTTTTTACGAATCGTGTCTGTTATTGTCAGTCATACATAGCGTTGCAACAAAAATTCGATATTCGACGAACTGTTCGGTACGTTTCGGGTTCGTTTATTTTTAATAACCGAATCCGAACCTTAAAATAAAATCGTTTAATTAAACGAACCGAACTCAAACCTTGGTTGAGATTAGACGAACGGTTCCGTTCGTTTAATATTTTTATTATTTAATATTTATATTATATAACTTATATTATATAATTTTTTATTATAAATTTATATTATATATTTTATAACTTATGTATATTTTTGCAATTTTTCATTAATACGATATATATTAATTTTTTTAATCTAAGAGTAAATATTGACTCAACAAAAGAAAATAGACTATAAACAATGTTTTTATTATTATTTATTTTTCAAATATAATCAGATAGACATGTTTATTTCTTTTAATATTTATTTTTAGGATGATTTAAAAAAAATTTGACGAACTATTCGGTTCGAATTCGGGTGGCAAGGGGCTACTCTACATAAAGGGATGACCAGGGAACAGACTCTTCATGAACACATTATCAACTGGAAATCTAGTAGTTTACTCATACTCGAACTGGGCTGCTTATCCCGACACGAGGCGTTTGATTAGTGGGCACCGCACCTACCTAGGAAAGAAACCTAATTATCAGTTGACGAAGTACTCAATAGTTGTAAAAAGTAATTTAATCATCTTGTAACATTATTATCGATCTAATCTACATTAATCGAATTGATATTCGATGTGCATGTGACAGAATGGGATTAGTTTCATGGAATCAGATTCCTTGCACTTGCAATCAACAAAGCTACCCCATTTATTATGCTCTCCGGCCGATCACTCATAAATAAAGCTATATATATATATATATATATATTCCACACTGAATTCAGAACAAATAAAATTAATTAAGCTTAACGAATCTGGAATTCTTGATCGATCTTATAACCAGTGAGGCAGTGAAGTGAAGTTATAAGTTATAATAACCAACCATGGGTTGGCTGACAGGGGAAACAAGGGGTCCTCGTTGGAAGCAAGGATGGATGGACCAAACCATATCCACTGCAACTCTTCCTCCACCGTCTCTCCTTGCCATTTTTGCCATTGTTTTCCTTCTCATGTCCTTGTCAGGGTACAACGTTTACAAGAAGGAAATGCAACGCAGAGCAATTGGATTTCGTTTGCTTATGTTTTTCCTACCGCTCGCCATTCTTGTTGTCGCGCGTTTCATGTTTCAGAATGGAGGGAGGATAATGCCTTCCACCCACCAAAGGAATGTCCATCGACCCGTTCATGGGACCTCACCTTGGGGCGTCGGAGCTGTGCTTGTCGTCTTGTTATTCATGATTTCGTATCAATCTTACTTCAAATCTGGTTGGTTCCCCTCTCTGTGGACTTAGCTTGCCAATTTCATATTAAATCAAATGGATTTCCATCACTATTTTACCTAAATAGTTTCTTAATTTTATGCTTGTATAAAGTTACCAGATATGTAATAATTCAATTCTCTTGCATCCATTTTTCTTTCACCTGGTTTAAAAACATCGACAGAAATTTGGGCAGCTCTCCGCATAACTTTTGGTACTCTAAATCAATCTCGTATTGTTCAACTTAATATGCAGTTGCAACTTCTCAAGAAGAACGATCTAGTTGCTTTGCCTTAGCAATCAGCAAAGAACCTCTATTTTTCCTGGCCCGGAACTCACGAATGCATTACTTGGACATGAGATTCAACTTGGTAATCTAAATCATGTCGACATCACACAGCCAAAGGAGGCCAATCTTACATCTTACAAAGGTAGATCTACGTCTCGAGGTGGACGATATTTAACTGGTCGAGGAGGCCAGCAGCAACGTCGCTGTGATCCGTGTCCAATCGATCTGCAATGGATTGGATCATAGTCCGTATAAATGTCCCTTTCGTCTCCAACCCGCCGGATTCATCAATCATCAAAGGTCTTCATCAACCGACGGTGATCCACCTCCGTCCAGCCCTTCCGCATAGGAAAATCCGAATAGACTCAATTAAACTTAAGAATCCGACTGAATAAAATCCGAATAGGTAAAAATTCGAATCTAAATCCTGATAAATTATCCGGAAATCTGGATAATCCGAATAACTTTTTTATAAAAATCTTTAAATAAAATTATAAAAATATAAAATCACCAATAATAAAGTTAATTAATAGTAAATTAATCACCATAAAATCTAGATAATCTGAATATTCGAAAGTCAATTTATATTTATGAGATTAACAAACGGATGATTAATCTCTGTAACTTAAAGATGAATTGAATCGTTTTCATCCAACTTGTTGATTATTGATGATGGGT